ACAAAACAGTAAAATAACAAATTTGGAAAAACAAATAAGAGCAAGAAATGTCATATTTTTTGGACTAGAAGAAAACGAAAAGTCGTATGAAGAATTGGAGAATAATATTATAAAAATTATTAAGAATGACTTAAAAGTAGAGTGCAATAAAAGTGAACTAGGAATGGTAAGGAGGATGGGGAAAAAAAGTGAAAGCAAAAAGAGACCTGTCAACGTCACTTTCACGACATTTGGCAAAAAGTTAATTGTATTGAAAAATAGTGGGCTCTTGAGAGACTCTGGTATTTATATGAAGGAAGATTACCCACCCGAAATATTAGAAACCCGAAAATCTCTCCAAAACCAACTACACAAGGCTAGGGAAGAAGGGAAAACCGCTTTCTTGAGATATGATAAGTTAATAATCAAAGATTCCTACACATCCCCTCATGCAAAAAAGAATAATAATAACAACTCTAAAAAAAGAGAGCTTGAAATTACTCCTCCAAATCAAATAGTAGATATAAATATACACCATAAAAAAATTAATCATCACATCGTCAAAAGAAACAAAACGTCAAAACAAATTCCGTCGCCGTCTAACCCTATTCTAAACTACATAAAAAACACCCAAGATAAAACACAATCACAACCACAATGTACCTCAGAAACAACTGAAGATAATATACAAAATAATTAGCAACTAGCCAAGCCTCCTTCGAACGAACAAACAAGAAATTCAAAAATAAATAAAGAAAATAACTTAACTAATCCTCCCCCAATACGGCTTGTCACCGCGGGGGTAGTAGACAATAACCCTCCAGAAACAAGGAAATGCTACATCGCGACCTTTAACGTTAGATCGTTAGCGAACGAAATAAGATTAATAGAACTAGAACACGCAATATCCCAAATTAAGTGGGATATTATTGGCTTATCTGAAACAAGGCGAGAAGGCAATGTCATAGTAGACAGAGGACAACACCGACTTTACTGCTACGGGACAAAAGGTGGCCAAAAAGGTGTAGGATTCCTCGTCAAAAAACAGAAACACGTGATCGTAAACAACTTCACGGGCTTTTCAGACAGAGTAGCTAGTCTAGAAGTCGATATCTACGATAAGTCATTTACAATTTTACAAGTTTATGCGTTCGTCACCTTATATTATAAAAAATAAGAACTTTCACTCTATCTTTCTCGATTAAATGCTTATTGTGTTACTTTAACTTTTGTTTAAATTATATTTTCAAATTTTAAGAATTACGTGACCTTCAGAATAATTAAATCTTCTTAAGAACAACTGGAAATGTAGTTAGTATGTAATAATGGTGTAAATCTTGGTACACGACACCCTGGGGCTTTGAAGTTTCCAACTTAATGTCACAGCTCTATATTATTTAGTCGACATAAGTCCCTATGTATGAAGACTACCTACGTGATAAAATACTTATGAATCACTACTATATATACTCCTATACTATAATAACACTAATTAATTACACTGGATTTGGTTTGTCTGGAATAAAATAAATGATCATCATCAACTTGCCCTTATCCTTTATGGAGGGTCGGCACAGTATGTGCTGCTCTTCCATACATCTCTATCAGCCGTCATATCTGAATCCACTCCTTTCTTAAGCATATCCTCTTTCACACAATCCATCCATACTTTCTTCGGTCTTCCTCTTCCTTTGTAGCCATCCACATTCAATCTTAACACTTTCAGGTTTATGTCCCCATCGTCTCGTTGCATATCATGTCTAAATAAAATAAATGATCTATAAATGTAATAAAATTCGAGTGTCTGTTTGTAATATCAAAAGTAGAATTCCAGATTTTGGGAAGATTATATATATTTGCATTGCTGATAACGAAAATTGTATTTTATTTTTTTTTGTTTCCCTTCCCTTCCCTTTTTCTTAAAAGAAAAGGATGGAAAGAGAACGTAGATTTGACGGTGCAATAAGATGATGAAGGGTAGGCAATGCATCCGCTATTAAAAATATCTATGGGCAGTGGTCACTTCGCCAGTTTCTCGGATTCAGGTGGCCGCTTGCTCGTTTGCCTTATGTTATAAAATGTTTGCTTTCATATTTTCTTGTAATTAAATATTACCAACATTTTTAATGTAACAACTCATTAAGGTGAAACTAAGAAACACAGTTTGCTAACTAGTAACTAAAGTTTCGCAACAACAAACCCCAGGGTGCAGACTTTAAATCATGATTGTTTTAATTAATTAGTTTATCGTCCAACAAGCCACTATATTGTTCACGAACTAATTTACCTTATAGTTCATGTATAATAGAAATCAGATATATCCTCTAGTTATGTTAATTACTTAAT